ACAGGGGTCCCAGGAAGAGGGAAGAGATGAGAATGTCAACTCCATGTTTCAGAAGGCTTGATTCATTATTTTATGGTATATATTATATTAAAACTATACTAAAAGAATAGAAGAAAGGATTTCATCAGAAGGCTTGCAAGCAAAAGAAAAGAATGGAATGAATAACAAAATCCTGTGTCTGACCAGAGAGTCAGAGACGGCTGGACTGTGATTGGCCATTGATTAGAAACAACCACATGAGAGCAATCACAGATGCACCTGTTGCATTCCACAGCAGCAGATAATCAATGTTTGCATTTTGTTCCTGAGACCTCTCAGCTTCTCAGGAGAAAAAAATCCTAAGGAAAGGATTTTTCATAAAACATGTTTGTGACAACACTTCGTACAAAGCTCAGAGCCCCACACTGAGCCAGCACAGAACCCGAGAAACCCAAAAGCTAAAACTGAAGGGTAGCCACTCCAAGGCATCAGCCCTGGCTCCCACATACCTGCTTGCCCCGGGGTGACAGCCCAGAGTCCCCTCCAATCCTGCCCAGGAGGTTGTACTCGCTCTCGCCGTGGCGGCACAGGTAGATGGTGCGCGGCTGCACGTGGATGTTCATCAGGTAATAGACAATTTTGCTCTGGATGTAATCCTGCACTCGGTTCACCAGGAACCTCTGGCCCACGTTGATCACTTTAATGAAGGAGAGATCTCTGCAGTGGATATAAAATAAGAACAGCCACATGGGTGGTTTGTTTGAGGTAATAGACAACTTTACTCTGGATGTAAACAGTGTTCACAGGGGTCCGAGGATGAGGGAAGAGATGAGGATCTGACTCCATGTTTCAGAAGGCTGATTTATTATTTTATGATATATATTATATTAAAACTATACTAAAAGAATAGAAGAAAGGATTTCATCAGAAGGCTGGCTGAGAATAGAAAAAGAAAGAATGATAACAAAGCTTCTGTCTCAGACAGAGCGTCTGAGCCAGCTGACTGTGACTGGCCATTAATTAGAAAAAACCACACAAGACCAATGCACCTGCTGCATTCCACAGCAGCAGATAACCATTGTTTACATTTTGTTCCTGAGGCCTCTCAGCTTCTCAGGAGGAAAAATCCTAAAGAAAGGATTTTTCATAAAACACGTCTGTGACAGTGCTGCACTCGGTTCACCAGGAACTGCTGCCCCATGTCGATCACTTTAATGAAGGAGAGATCTCTGGAGTGGACATAAAATAAAAACACCCACATGGATGGCTTGTTTGAAGTAACAGACAGTTTTACTCTGGATGTAGTCCTGCACTTGGTTCACCAGGAACTGTTGGTCCACATTGGTCACTTTAATGAAGGGGAGATCTCTGCAGTGGATGTAAAATAAGAATACCCATATGGGTGGCTTAAAAAATGAGGCAGGAGCAGCTGGTGTCACCCAGCTACTGCTCCTCTAGGAAAGGTAGGACAGGCTCTGAACTGCTGGGCTTAAAAATCCTGCCCTGTGAGGGTGGGCACCCCTGGATCCCTGGAAGTGACCAAAGCCAGGCTGGACAGGGTTTGGAGCACCCTGGGATAGTGGGAGGTGTCCCTGCCCATGGGTCTTAGAGATGGGCTTGGAGATCCCATCCAACCCAAACCACCCTGTGATTCTGCAGCACACAGAGAAAAATCCCTTCAAATCTCACTGGGGACCTGTGATTCACCTGCACACAGAGAAAAATCCCTTCAAATCTCACTGGGGACCTGTGATTCACCTGCACACAGAGAAAAATCCCTTCAAATCTCACTGGGGACCTGTGATTCACCTGCACACAGAGAAAAATCCCCTCAAATCTCACTGGGGACCTGTGATTCACCTGCACACAGCCACACCTGGGGAGGGCAGAGGTGTTGGAGCATCCTGACAGCAAAGCAGCTCATGTTCCTAAGGGATGTGCCAAGGGATTTGCTTACTTGTCATAAGCATCCGGGTCCAGGGGCTGGTAGGTGACCTTGTAGCACTCAATCCTCTTCAGGAAATCGTCCATCACATTCTCCCTGTGCCTCTCTGGGTAGTCAGGGCTGGAAACTTTCACCTCCTGCCCAACAGACAGTGTGAGTTAAGCAACCTCAAGAGAGAACAAAAGATGAATAACATTCCCCTCTTTTCAAACAAATCCACATTGTTTAACGCTGCCCTGAGGAAAAACCTGCTCCTGGAGAGGAAACAAAAGGCGACTCTTAAGGCACTGAAGTGGCTGGCCCTGACAGACACCCTGGCTCAGAGCTCTGCCCTCCCTCCCTGGCCAGCACAGCTTCAAGGTCACCCATTCCCGGCTCCGCTCGATTCCCACATTCTCACATAACGGCATCTCTGGCTTTTAATAAACCTGCAAATCCCAGCTGCTTATTGGGCAGGTGGAAGGCAAGAGGGAGCTCCCTGAGCCCCTGACCTTGCACTGAGCACCCAAACTCCCACGGCAGCCCAGCCTGGGAAGGGCAGCACCCACCAGGATGTTGGCAGCGATGACCTCTGGATCATCACAGACAGACTCCACGAAAAACACCTGGGGAAAAGGCAAGGGAGCACATTCAGAGACAAAACTTCTGTGCCAGGGAGCCACAGACACTGCAAATTAAACCACACAAACAGTTAAAGCACTACCTTGAAAGCATTTTCCTTAGCAAAGTTCAAGATCAGGTCCCGGCGCTCCCGAGTCGTGTTGGTCGCATCGAACACCTGGCAGAAAATGAGGAAGGAGCACTGAGCATCTTAAGCCTTTTAAACCCCAAATCACTCCAGGCAAGTTTGAACTGCCCTGATGTAAAGCTATTTTTAGTGCAGAGGATCTTACAGCTATTTGCCCACACTCCTCCAAGAGATAAGACTTCACATCTTGCAGAGCCACCAGGGCACAGCGTCTGCGGGACAGAAATAGGGATGGTCACAGCTGATGGAAAGCATTCCCACAGCAAAGCTTCTGAGCCAGCAGGGAGGGGTTCAAACACCTCCCTCACATCCCTGCACCGTCCTAAGAGCCCCAAAAATCTTGGGGCACCACGATCTGAGCTTTGTGCCACCCCAAACCCATCCCTGTGCTGTTCCTTCTCCCTTCCCCAGGGACTCTGGGTTATTTTCTGCTCCTCACACCCACAGCCTGCCAAAACTCCAGTGCCCCCAGCCCTGCCAGGGACTCACTTGCGGATTTCCATGGCCTCTTTGTTGTCGTGCCTGAAGAAGTCGTAGGACTTGTAGGACTTCACTGCCTCGCGCCGATACACCCCTAAATTAAACACTTCACACACGGGAGAGGGGAGGGTGAGGACATTCCTCTGGCAGGGGTGTCCCAGCACGGGGCAGGGGATGTCCCCACACACCCACCCACCTTTGGTGGGCACCCCGATCCAGTTGAGGTAGCGGGTGAGCTTTTTGGACATGTAGGTCTTGCCCCTGGCAGGCAGCCCGATCATCACGATCAGCGTCGGGGAGTTGGTCATGTAGGAAGCCCATGCTGCAAAAGAAAAAAACCAAAAAAAAACCCCAAACAACCCCAAAACGGCATCAGGGGCGCTGGAGAGCATAAAGTGAGACTCAGCACAGCGTTATCCCATATCCTGGTGGATAAACACCTCCGAGCATCCCAGGACGGGCTCGCTTTGTGTCCTTGTCATTAATGAGCTGCTGTGACCGCTCTGTGGTCTCCAGGTGTTTGTTAATGAGGCAGCACCGCTGCCTAATGGGGCTTTCAGTGTTAACAGCATTTCCCGCCCGGGCAGCGCCGTCAAGGGCGAACCAAAGATGTTTTTAACAAAACGGTCACGTTCCCTCGGGGAACAGCCCGAGCGGGCTCCCAAAACGCCCGCGGAGAGGCGGATTTGGGGCGAAAAGCTCGGGATGGGGATGGATGCAGCATCCGGGAGGATGGGGACAGGGAAACGCGGGAGGGGACAGCAGGGCAGGGGACAGGACGGGATCCGCGCGGGAGGGGACAGCCAGGACAGGGACGCGAGCCTCGGGGCGAACGCGCAGCCCTATCCCCCCCTCCCGGTACCGGTTCCGTTCCTTCCCAGCCCCGCGGTTACTCACAGCACGGCTTCTCGCCGGCCCTGCCCCGCGGGGCCCCGCCGCCGCCCCGCAGCGCCGCCGACATGGCTCCGCTCCGCCGCCCCGCCGCATGCAAATCGCATGCAAATGAGCGGCGGGGCTCGCGCGCACGGCGGAGCGGCGGCGAACGGAAACCGGGCACCGAACACGCGGGAAAAGGGGCGCGGCGGGGCGGGAAAAAGCGGCCCGCGTCACGCGCGCGTGGGGGCGCGCGCCGGATGCAAATGAGATCGGGAGGGCGGGGCAACCGTTCGCTCTATGCAAATAAGACCGAGAGGGCGGGGCAAGTGTTCGCTATATCCAAATAAGACCGGGAGGGAGGGAGAGCTGCGCGCTGTATGCAAATGACCAGGAGGGCGGGGTAACCGTTCGCTATATGCAAATAAGACCACGAGGGAGGGAGAGTTGCACGATGTATGCAAATAAGATCTGGAGGGCGGGGCAGCCTTGCGCTGTATGCAAATAAACCGAAAGGGCGGTGGGCGGGGCGGGAGGGGAAGCGGAGCACGCGCGCCATGCAAATGAGATGGGCGGTGATGAAAGGGGTGCGGAGCTCGCTCCTCTATGCAAATCCAGGCGGGCTATGCAAATAAAATGGGAGGTAATCGTCGCGGAAGGGAGGGGACAGCAAATCACGGCGACGTAAATGAGATGGCAAGGAGGTGTCCGGCTGCATGCAAATTAAGTGGGCGGTGTCATCTGCTGTATGCAAATCAGAAGCCCGGCGTGCCGTACTGATGACAAGGGCTCTATGCTAATGAGCCGCGCGCTATGCAAATAAACGGGCGCTATGCAAATGACCGGGCGCCGCGCGCGCTCTGATTGGCCGCTTGCTGCGGAGGGGGGGTGGGGCTCGGCGTGCTCTCGCGAGAGCGGGGCGGGCACGGGCCGGAAGCGGAAGCGGCGGCGGCCGGTGCGGCGGCGGCCCCGAGGATGCTGCGGCTGCGCTGCAAGGCCCGGAGCGGCTCGCACGCGCTGCCGGGGCTGTCGCCGCACTCCCGCCTCCGCGACATGCAGGCCGCGCTCGCCGCGCTCACTGGAGTGCCCGCGCCCGCCCAGCGCCTCCTGCTCGGCTTCCCGCCGCGCAGCCTCGACCTCAGCGACGGCGAGCGGCGGCTGGGCGAGCTCGGCATCCACTCGGGTGAGGGCCCCGCGGGGCGGAGGGAGGGAGGGAGGCAGGCGCCGCTCTGAGGGCTCTGCAGCCCCGCCGGCTGTAATTACGTTAATTAAAGAGGCCGTGGCACACACACCCCTCATCAACCGGCGGTCGGGCCGGTTCCTGCTGCCGGGGGAGGCGTCAGCGCCCGGCTCGGCAGTGCTTCCTGCTCGCCGCCGGTGCTTTGGCTGCGTCCCGGGGGTCCGGAGGGAGAAGCGGCGGGGCTGGAGGGGACGGGGTCCGGGCCAGGCCAGGTGAGTCCTGCGGGGACCGTTGTGGTGCCGGCGGCTGTTGGGCGAGGCTGTTTCCCGGCGGGATACCGAGCTGGGGGAAACGGGCGAGGTCGGGCTGGACCGGGCTTGGAGCAGCCTGGGCTGGTGGAAAGTGTCCCTGTCCCTTCCAGGGGTGGGACTGGGTGATGTTTAATATCCCAAAACATTCTGCGATTCCCTTCTGTGACTCTCAGCAATGCCAGCACGGCCGTGTTGTTGTGTTGGAGTAGCAGCACCAGCTTTAAGTCCCCCCTTTATGTCCCTCCTCCTGTGTGGCAGGTGACACTCTGATCGTGGAAGAAGACACATCCAAACCCGAGCCCGGCTCGCCGGTGGTGGCCAAAAAAGCGATGTCCCAGTCCGTGAGGGAAGCCGTGCCCGTGCTGGTCAGGAGGGTGGTGCCAGCAGACAATTCCTGCCTGTTCACCAGCGTGTTCTACGTGGTGGAGGGCGGCGTGTACGACCCCGGCTGCGCGCCGGAGATGCGCAACCTCATCGCGCAGATCGTGGCCAGCGACCCCGAGTCGTACTGCGAGGCCGTGCTGGGCAAAACCAACCGGGAATACTGTGACTGGATCCGCAGGGAGGAGACCTGGGGAGGAGCCATCGAGGTCTCCATCCTCTCCAAGTTCTACCAGTGCGAGATCTGCGTGGTGGACACGCAGACCGTGCGCATCGACCGCTTCGGCGAGGACGCCGGCTACAGCAAGCGCGTGCTGCTCATCTACGACGGCATCCACTACGACCCGCTGGAGCGCCGCCTGCCCTCCTCGGACCTTCCTCCCCAGACCATCTTCCCCAGCAGCGATGACGTGGTGCTGGCCCAGGCTCTGGAGCTGGCGGATGAAGCCCGCAGGAAGAGGCAGTTCACGGATGTGAATCGCTTCGCCCTGCGCTGCATGGTGTGCCAGAAGGGACTGACGGGGCAGCTGGAGGCCAGGGAGCACGCCAGGGAGACCGGACACACCAACTTTGGGGAGGTGTGAGCTCTCCCAGCAGCACGAGGAGGGTGCCATCGACTACCTCAGCGCTCTGGAATCAGATTCTGGAGTCCCAGATAAGCTGTTTGTAATCATAAAATTCCGTTCACAGAGCTTGAAAAGCTTTTTAACTAATTAACTAAATTAACTTCATGGTGGCCAACGCGCAGGTTTGGGAGTAGGGGATTGGGAGTAGGGATGGTACTTGGGCTGGTGGTGGACAGTGGCAGCCACACCTTGATTTCATCATCTTCTGTGTGTGTGTGTGTGTGTGTGTGTGTGTGAGCAGACAGGCACAGCCAGGCTTGTCCAGCACTGCTGTAAAATCCTCAGCCAGGATTTTACACCAATACTGATGTAAAATCCATCTCTGAGATGCTGAATGAGCAGCCAGACACAGTCAAGCTTGTCCAATACTGCTGTAAAATCCACCTTTGAGGTGCTGAGTGTGTGATCTGAGCAGACAGACATAGCCAGGCCTGTGTAAAGTCCACCTCTGAGGTGCTGAATGAGCAGACAGACACAGCCAGGCTCATCCAGTACTGCTGTAAAATTCACCTCTGAGGTGCTGAATGTGTGATCTGAGCAGACAGAAACAGCCAAGCTTGTCCAATACTGCTGTAAAATCCTCAGCCAGGATTTTACACCAATATTGATGGAAAATCCACCTCTGAGGTGCTGAGTGTGTGATCTGAGCAGACAGACACAGCCAGGCTTGTGTAAAATCCACGTCTGAGGTGCTGAATGTGTGATCTGAGCAAAGAGGCACAGCCAGGCTTGTCCAACACTGCTGTAAAATCCTCAGCAAGGATTTTACACCAATACTGATGTAAAATCCACCTCTGAGGTGCTGAGTGTGTGATCTGAGCAGACAGACACAATCAGGCTTGTGTAAAATCCACCTCTGATGTGCTGAATGAGCAGACAGACACAGCCAGGCTTGTCCAACACTGCTGTAAAATCCTCAGCAAGGATTTTACATCAACACTGCTGTAAAATCCACCTCTGAGGTGCTGAATGTACATTTTCAGGGGAATTCAGTTAATCTGAGGCTGTGGCAAACACACATATCAGCACCACTCACACTGAGAATTGGGCTCTGCACGTATGAGCAGGTCTCAGAGGGGAAACTGCTCGTGTGGTGCATGATTTGTAATGGAAATACCAAGTACAATATCAAAAATACAATTTATAGTGGAAAAAGAATCTCTGAGCTGCCCTATACCGTCAGGAATAGCCTGTGTAGTTTGTGTGCTGAGAACTTTAGGGAAAACAATGGCCTCTAAGCTTTACGGTAGCCTTTAAATTAATGAGTAGATGGATAAGTGTTGAATAAAACTTATTAATCCTCCGTAGGTAGTATTTAGTTGCTTGAAAAATAACTCTGAACCCCCTGGTGTTTACACTGCATCAGAGCATAAGCATGTTGCCTGGAATACTTGGGATTCTTCTTCATAATAGCATTGGGAATTCCTGCAAGAGGGAAGTGAGTAGTTAGGGATGTGACTTAATTTGCATCTGTTAAATGAATACATTGAATATTTTACTTGAGTAGAGCCAATTAAGGCCATGGTGTTACTAAGCTGTTCCAGTTTCCAAATACTGTGAATGAGCACTTTAAGGTTGAGTTCTCACTCTTTGCTGGTAAAAAGTTTTTTGCCCTCTGAAGGCCAGAGCCAGAAGAGAGGCTTGAAATTCCATCTGCTTTCTGCCTTAATGTGTTTGATTTGTCACCACTGACTGTGGAGTAGCAAGACTTTCATTGTGATAGTGAAATATCACAGCTGAATATTCAGATGAAAATAAGCTGGGGAAAGTTCCCCACTCCTTGGACTGTTCAGAATCAGGGAAGGTGAAATTTAAGGTTTAATTGGAATTATTTTACCTCACAGTGGGGTTGTGAAGCTTAACAGCAAGTGCTTTTGAGGGCTTTTAAAAGGTGCTGTAAAGGTGCATATTACTGAAGGGGATTTATGTTGTTTTGTTTTTTTTTTAATTTGAAATGCCTGCAACACATCCTTATTTCTTGAATTTTAAAATATCCTTTGCCTGCCATTCTTCTGTTACTGTTTTGAGTGACCTTCCTTGCACTTTTAGACGGGGGAACAAGAAGGAGCATCCTCAGACTGAGGCAGAAATAAACCCCACGTGGGTTTAACCTAAAACCCAGTTTGAAAGGGCTCTGTTCCCTCAGGCACCCGATCAAACTGGTGCAGCCACATCACCTTTTCTGCTAAAATCCCATTTCTGGTTCTCAGCAGAGATCTTGAAAGACAGGAGGGTTTTACAGAAGAAAGAACATAATTACTTAAGTGCTTTGCTGAATTAAGGCATGAATAATTCAACAGCTCTAGGATCACCCAGAGCACTGTGGACTGGGTTTGTTTTTAATTCAGTATTAAAACACACATTAGCACTGGTGGGAGTTCCCTATAGAAAGCCACTTAGCTTCCAGTGTTAAACCCCACTCTGCTTTTAGCCTGTCATTAGGAAAAGAAGATAAAACCCCCCCAAACCCAACATTAAACCCAGCCCTGTAGAAGCTGATGCTTAAAACCCTCCAGAAATACCTGACAGTTGAAAGGAACTTGAAGATGACACTGTGTTAGAACTACTTGAGCTGAAATACTGGCTAGGAACGAGACCAAGGGACTGGCAAGCCCCAGGTGTGCTCTGAGTGTCCCAGGGGAGCAGGGACACCCTGGGACGAGGAGCTGATCCTCCCCTTTGCCATCTGCCACATGGACACAATACCTACCTCAGAGAGGTGCACCAGGTGTCTTTGAAACACAAGTGGAAGATCCGTATTTATTGTCTGCCTTGACTTTGGGGAGCAACCCTTAGATTTTAGCTTTGTGTCCTGGATGGATTTCTCTAAGTGTGTGAAACTTTTTTTTTTTTTTTTCCTGGTATTTCTCAGTTGCAGTATTTGAAAAATGAGCTTTATTTAATCCAGAGTGTTGAGCTTTGCTAGATCATGTTTGCATTGGGAATTTGCTACCAGAGAATCAGTTCCCTTGGAGGGAGAACGTGTCACTATCACTGCTTGGATGTTCTCTTTTGTTGCCTAGAAAAATAAAATCTCTTTGGTTAAAAAAAGATATACCTGTAATTTGTGGTGGTAAAAGTTGATATTGTTACAGGCTGACAAGGAGCAAGTCCTTGACTGCAAGAGAAATTTCTCCTTACTCTCCTAAACTTTCCTTGACTGCAAGAAAAATTTCTCCTAAACTTTCCCAAACAAAAAGTATCTCCAAGTCACAACTGAATAGATTTAAAGTACAACTCTTTTTCTTTTTAAAAATTTGTACTAGAGTGTTTTTTAGCATGTTTTAACTAGGATTTTCCTGCTCTTAGTGACACAGTCAGGAAATTATCCCAAAAATGGCATTCTTCTAGTGGTGGGATGAACTCTGAATATCAGAATGGGATGAGATGAGCTTCAAGATCCTTTCCACACCAAACCACTCTGGGATTCTATGAACTGTGGTACCTGGGATATCAGGACTCTGCTGTAAAGAGAGTTTTACATCCCTCCAGAATCTTATATACAAATTATTAAACCAACTTCACAAATACTTGTGTCCAGTATTACACAGATCTACTCCATGGATGGAACTGAGAGAGGAGTCTGGGGAAAAAATCAATAATAACTGGAATTTCTGAAGGACAAACCCAATTCTGAAGCTCTGAGCAAACTCCTATCAAAAGAGCACTGAGAAAAGGAACATCCTGTTCCATGGTACATCTCAATCATTTCCCTGGGCACAGTCACAGGGGGCCATTGTGACAGCTTGGGGACAGTGTCCTGTGCCCATCCTGCCCTCCTGGAGAATATCCCAGCTCTGGGGCAGCTGGAACCTCTCTGTGTTGTGTTTGTTCTCCTCTGGGGAGGGGCTGAATGAGGAGAGCAGAAATTCTGTGCTGCTGCAGGAGGTTCTGAGCAATCAGACTGCCACAGGCTGGGCGCTGAATCATCTGTGTGCGCCTGATTTCACTGCACAACCCACCCACGGGCCAGCCCTGCAGCCTCTCCCTGCCAAGGAAACTCCACAAGAGGAACTAAAAGTTGTCAGCTTGCTGTTTGCAAAATTGCAGCTGCCGTGCAATGAAATGTCTGCCTGCATTTTAAATCAGACTTTGCATCCAGCTCTGAAACTGCTGCCAGGTTTGTTCCAAATAAAATTCCTTCAGATTGGTGAAATCACTCCTGCTGTTTCAGCTGTCTGAGCACCAACTCCCCCTGAAATAGGAATAAAATAGAGGAGTAACAAAATCAGGTTGTCCAGGACCACAGTGCCCTTGTTTATTATTCTTGTTTATTATTTTTAATTTAAAATCTTGAGGAAAATGTTGGGGAACTATTAAAGCTTGAGAGCTGCACTCTCACTTCTGGTGTTAAAGGTAAGCAAGCAATGGGAACACTTCAGCTCCCTTCTCCAGCTCCTGTCTGTGAAACACAGATAATAAATAAATATTATGTAATAATATTTCTGTAAGAAATATTTATTTAATAAATAAAGCCTTTCTTGGCTATAGGAATGTTTAATAAATGCTGTGCAATAGGAGGCATTAACTACATTCTCCAGCTCCTTTTTGTGAAACAGAGAAAATAAATATTATATAAATTATTATATAATAACGAATAATAAGTTATTTTTAAGTAAATAAAACCTTTAATAAGGTTTTAATAAATAATGTAAATAAATAATAATAATAATTGAATAAATAAATAACACCTTTGGCCATAGGAAGGTTTGATGAGTGCAGTGCAGCAGGAGGCATTAACTACATTCTCCAGCTCCTTTTTGTGAAACAGAGAAAATAAATATTATATAAATAATGTTTACATAAATATTATAGAATATGTTTATATAATAAATATATGTTTATTTTATAAATAAATAACACCTTTGGCCATAGGAAGGTTTGATGAGTGCTGTGCAACAGGAGGCATTAACTACATTCTCCAGCTCCTTTTTGTGAAACAGAGAAAATAAATATTATATTAATGATTATATAATAAATAATAATAAATAATTTTAAAAAGAAATAAAATCTTTAAAAAGGTTTTAATAAATAAATAATATAAATAATAATAATAATTGAATAAATAAATAAAACCTTCTTTGGCCATAGGAATATTTGATGAGTGCTGTGCAGTAGGAGGCATTAACTACATTTTCCACCTCCTTTTTGTGAAACAGAGAAAATATAATGTTTATATATTATATAAATAATGTTTATATAATAAAATTATTTATTTAATGAATAAATAAACGTGGCCATAGGAAAGTTTGATGAGTGCTGTGCAACAGGAGGCATTAACTACATTCTCCAGCTCCTTTTTGTGAAACAGAGAAAATAAATATTATATAAATGATATTTATATAATAAATAAATATTTATTTAATAAATGAATAAAACCTTCTTTGGTCATAGGACATTTTAATGAGTGCTGTTCAGCAGGAGACATTAACTACATTCTCCAGCTCCTTTTTGTGAAGCAGAAAAATAAATATTATATAAATGATTATATAATAAATAATTATAAATAATTTTAAAAATATATAAAACCTTTAATAAGGTTTTAATAAATAAG